TTGTAATTGAGTGTCCTTGGCTTTTCCATCCTCTAGATAGGTTATTTGATCCTTTATTCATTTTGTTCATTCCTTTGTTTATTCCATTTAATATACTTCTCATCTCAGATCATGTGTTCTTCATTTCTGACTAGTTCTCTTTTATAATTTCCATTTTCATTCTTAAAATTTTTATCTTTGTTAAAGTTCTCACTGAATTCATCTGCATTTCCTATAAATTCATTGAGCATCTTTATAACAGTGTTTTGAACTCTGCAGCTGTTAGATTACTTGACTCCATTATTTCTGGATCTCTGTTCTGTTCTCTCATATGGTTTCTGCTTCTTTATCGTCCCATTTTGGCTGCCTTTCTGTGTCTGTTTCTATGTACTAAGCAAAGCTCTTAAGTCTCCCAGTATCATTAGTGTGTCTATCTGTGGTAGGTGTACTGTGGCAAGGTCCTAAGAGGGGTTCAGCTGCAGGCCAAATTTAGCCCAAGCCTCTGCCCCTCTAGGGCCACCTGTTAAGATTCAGCAAGCAATCCACAGGTGCTGTGCTTATAATTGCCTCAAAAGGCCACTCCAGAAACCAAGGATAGCTGCCTCTAGTGTGAGTCTAGGTGCTGCTCAGCAAGAAACACCTGAACTCACTGAGGATACACCTGGATGTGGCTTGAGTGGGGCTGCGAACTAGAGGAGGTAGAGTTTCAGGGAATCCTCTGGGTGGGGGGACCTCTGTTATCCAGTTTGATGACCTCTCGGCTACGGCGGCTTTGTGGCTGCGCGCTAGGAGTAGGGAGGGCTCAACAGAGAACAATGGATACTGCTAGCACTTCTGTACAGAGCAAATCTTGCTCTCACTCTGACAATGTCTTCCTGTAAGTCTCTGGTGCCCCCTGCACGCAGCAGAATCAGCACTGGTGCTCAGAGCAAGTAAGTCCATCATCGTGAACATTCACTTGTGGATGTGGTCCCTTTAAGATGCATCTGCCACTGCTGCTGCTGCTGCTGCCTCAGCCTCTGTCTCATTCAGCCGCTCGAGACTGGGCAGCTCCGCATCCTCGCCCCATCCTACATTCTGCCGTTGCAGGGTGATTTGGGGATTTCTCCTCAGTTGTTCATCTTATTTTCAGCTTAGTTGTTCAGCTTATTTTTCCTTGCTCCTTGCTCCTTGTTTCCATCACAACTTTGATTTGTTTGCCAGAGGGATGAACAGAGCCTCTATCATCTATGCCATTTTTCCCCTTCTTCCTTTAACTTTTTAACTCACAGTCCCCTGTTCTGCTCAGGGCCATACACACTGGAAGCATCAACATTATTTTTATACACACTCTAAAAAGGGATTCCCTAAGACAGCTTGTTACAGCCTAAGACATATTTGTACTAAGTAAATTAGGTTGAATACTCACCATCATCTACAATGGATCCAAACCCTGTAACAAACACACTTGTTTTAGGTGTCAACTTCATAGATGCATCTGGGAGGCAAACTCTCTGGACTACATTTGAAAACTCAACTCGAGTAGTGAGCTGAGCCAAAGCAATATCATTTTCATTTGTTTCTCTATGGTAATTTTCATGAAGGATAATTTTCCCCACATTTCGTTGTACTGCAGGTGGTGCTATAGTTGTACCAAAAGTAGCAATCCATTGACTTGGGTCTTTATTTCTGCAAAACATTAAAGGGTAAAATTTATGATGCTTAACTTTATACTTTAAAAAAGATTGAGACTGTATTTCTCCCCAACTATTGGGATTATGCTCTTGAAAAATACCTATGGTGAATTTGCTGTTGATGACCTTATTTAAAAAAGAGGTGAAAAATACCGATGATATAAGTGAGAGTATGAAAGCTAAAAATATTTTACTCCTTTAAAATTAAAAAAAGCAAAGCAACTAAATGAAATTTTCATACTTTATTTGGATTAATAATAATAATGGGTACTATACAATTAATTTCCAGTATTTAACTCCTTGTTTATTAGAAACTTGTCAGATTATCTTTTTTCTATGCTTTCAATGAAATGTGTAGATATTAATTTGCTTTGGTACTATATATACCAAGGGGCATTCTTCCTCTGTATCAGACACTTCATCCACTCTTATTTTATGATTCACTTGTCACCTCTTGTTCTGTCTTCTAATTATCTTCATCAAGAATGACTAGAAATATATAGAAACTTGAAATTCTCTTCGTAGAGAAAAATTATGTAGAAGGAAATCACAGAGGAGAATCGAAAAAGAGGATTTCCTTGTGCATGCAGGATTACGGTGTTGATGAATCATAGATGTGTAAGTGTAATAAAAACTTGAAAGATCAGTGGTTTTCAAAGTACTAGGCACTGCCCCAGGCATGAGCAGGCAGAGCCCTGGGGTGGGAACCAGGAAATGGGAAGGGCTCTTCTCTCAGTTGTTTTACTCATTTACATTTTTAAGGAAGATTTTATTCAAAGCTGAAATCTTAGGGCTAAAGCTTTCATTTGAATACCAGAAGATACAAGATATGCATGCCTTCAGTCCTCAAGAAGCTTGAGTACATAAAATAGAAACCCACCTCTTCAGGCATTGTCAATCAGAAAGGAAACCTCATGTAATAGGCGCAGTTCAACCTGTTTGTGAATAGGGACACTGAGACTTAGAAGTTGAATTGCCCAGGTAAGGGACATATCCAGCTGGTTAATGTCAGAGAGAGCTGGCTCAAGTCTCATGATATCTTTCCTGTCAAGAACTTTCTCCCCATCCACACTGTTTCACAAAGAGTAGGACCCTTTTCTATGAGCATAAAGGTACTAAAATATGTCTTAAACATGGTCTTTAAAAAATACACTATTTCTGTAATGGGGGGGGGGCAAAATTTAAAAACTCTGGATAATTGTGGTATTGTTTTCAAAGTACCCTGTATTTTTCTTTCACAACAGTATATGTTAACTGTGCAATAAAATTATAACATCTCAAAACTGAACCATTTCCAAGATCATCACCTTCCCCAGTTCTTTTAGATTATTATTATTGGCATAAAATATGCTATAATGTCACTCATATTTTAAGAACTTCCTTTGAGTCCACAACCACCTTCACCTGTCAAATTTCTCTGTTCCCATTCATTTGAAACTCCTTGAAAGTGGCATCTAAGCTCACTGAATCCAATTCTTGTCCTCTATTCTCTCTTCAATTCATTTCCATCCCTATCATATCACCGCAATTTCTCTTATCAAGGTCACTAGTTATCTCTATTTTATCAAACTCAGTGGCCAATTCCCATTTAGTTTGTCAGCGTAGAGACTGTACTAGACCTGCCAAAATGTGTATCTCAATCACTTTAGTTTATATTCTTCATTAAATGTTAATAAATTAATATTCTGGATTTATTATTTTTAACATAAGCAGGGCTAAGTAATAAACCAAAATGGATGCCACTCCCAAAAACAAGTGTGAAGACTGGAGCACTATGTGAACGAAATATCAGAAAACCTTAAAAAAAATTAGTGAAACTCAAGTAAAACCTAAGGCACGACACCAGTTATTTTGGGAGTTATAAATATATAAGTGAGTCCCTCTCCTTTTGTCTCATGAGAGAGTGATAGACAATCACCTTAAATTCATTAGGTCATTCCTATTACACATTTACCCCATAAATAAAGGTGTGGGCAACTTGGAACTATTAAAATATTACTCTTAGAAAGATAGTCAAGAGCCCGCTAGACTCACCAAAGATAGTATACTAGAAAGGGTGTGTGAACAGTGTCACTGGCCAGGGCTTCATTCAGAGCCTTTATCTTTAGAGTTTGAAAAAAAAAGAAAAAAAAAAAAATTCTATATCCTGATGCTGAAACTTCAGGAAGGAAAGAAGGTGTGCCCTTATCTCCTGGGGCAATAGAGTGCCTGTGTATATCTGTGTACATGAACTGAGTTTTTAGAGGTACATCACAAGCAGATTGCTTCTCTCAGGGCCTATATGACTAGTCTTCCATGCTGTGAGGGCAATGAGACAAGTCGGCAAGTCTCTCCAAACATCTACACACCTCTCTAGTCCTCACAAGCCCACTGGGGTTCTTAAATAAAGCAGTTGGAAGGGAGAGCTTCTAGAGTGATACCTTTGATTTTTTTTTCTTATTTATAAAATGATAGTTGATGTTGAGAGTGGAAGGATAGAAGGATTAACTGAAAACAAAACAAAACAAAATAAAACAGAAGTCGAATTTTCTCCTTGACTACATGGAAGAATTTAAACTTGTTATGTGACAGCCTGCTGAAATGTGAAAAGGTTAAAGGATAATTAAAATCTGAAACTGGACAAAGGAAGTCTATACCTTAGGCCTAGTTTCTGGAACCCCTAACCGCATTCTGTTAATCATGAAACTTGTAACAATGAGCTCATATGCTAACTGCCAATTTTAGCCTGTGTAACCCTGCTTGCTTGCGTGGCACGAAAAATAATCAATTGTATATAAGCTGAAAATTACTGTTTGGCCATCGCCCATGAGAATACTGGCTATTGCCCATGGGAACATAGGCAATCACCGATAAGAACATAACATTCTAACAACAAGCTTTCTGCTTCTGTACTCCCCGCTTGCACACCTGACCGGTGGGTTGACAGGTAGTGAATAGGAGAGAAATAGACCTTTGTGTTTAAGATAGAATGAAGAATGGGATTTAGGGCTTAAAAACCTTGTATCTTGGCATTTCGGGTTGCTCCTTTGTACAGGACAGCCGCCGGCTAATAAACAGCCTTTGAGAGCATACTTGGTTTGGTCTACTCTATACAGGCCACAACAGTTACATGTATAATAGTCTTTTTCTCTATTTGCTTCAGTCTTTCTGCTAACCTGCTTTCCAATTCTTCTACTACTGTTCTGTTTAGTTTATCATTGAACACATCTTTTTTTTTTTTTTTTTTTTAATTTCTTCCCCTCCACCTCCTGATTACTCTAGCACCCATCTGGCACTACACACAACTATTACAGTAATATTGACTATATACCCTATGTTATACTCTAAATCCCTGTGAGTGTTTTGTAACTACTCATTTGTGTCATTTGTACTTCTTCACCTCTTGACCTTTTTTACCCAGCCCCCCAACCCTCCTCCCCTCTGGCAGTCATCAGTTTTTTTCTCTGTATTTGAGTCTGTTTCATTTAGTTTGTTCATTTCTTTTGTTCCTTTGATTCTGCGTGTAAGTGAAATCATATGGTATCTTTATCTTTCTCTGTCTGATTTATTTCACTCAGCATAATAACCTCTAGGTCAATCCACATTGTTGCAAATGATGAGATTTTATTTTTTAAGGGCCGAGTAATATTCAATTGTATATATGTACCATAACTTCTTTAACAAATCGTCTATTGATGAGAACTTAGGCTGCTTCTCTATCTCGGCTATTGTGAATAGCGCTGCCGTGAACATAGAGATGCATGGACCTTTACTAACTAGTGTTTTGGTTTTCTTTGGATAAATATCCAGAAGTGCAATTTCTGGGTTAAAAGGTAATTCTATTTTTAATTTTTTGAGATACTGCCAAATTGTTTCCCATAGTGATTGTTTCAATTTGCAATCCCACTAACAGTGTATGAGAGTTCCCTTTTCTCCACATCCTCACCAACATTTGTTGTTTTTTGATTCATTGCTGATAGCACAACCTTCCACGTGTGAGGTGATATCTCATTGTGGTTTTAATCTGCATTTATCTGATGATTAGTGACCCTGAGCATCTTTTCACATGTCTGTTGGCCATCTGTGTGTCCTGTTTGGAGAAATATCTGTTCAGGTCTTCTGCCCATTTTTTAAATTGGATTGTTTGTGTTTTTTGCTGTTAAAAGACCATTCTTTGAAAATTATAAGTCATTGAAAAAAGAAATTGAAGAAGATACAAATAAATGGAAACATATACCATGCTCATGGGTAGGAAGAATCAACATCATTAAAATGACCGTATTACTTGAAGCAATCTGTAGATTCAATGCAACCTCTATCAAAACACCAATGACATTTTTTTTCAGAGAACTAGAATAATCCAAAAATGGAACCATAAAAGATCCTTAGTAGCCACAGCAATCTTTAGAAAGAAGAAGTTGGAGGTATCAAACTACCTGATATCAAAATATATTACAAGGCTATAGTAATAAAAACAGCATGGTACTGGAATAAAAATAGACACATAGATCAATGGAACAGAATGGAGAGCCAAGAAATAAATCCATGTCTATATGGTCAATTAATCTATGATAAAGGAGGCAAGAATACACAGTGGAATAAAGACCGTCTCTTCAATAAATAGTGTTGGGAAAACTGGACAGATACATGCAAAAAATGAAACTGGACCACCTTCTTATACCATAAACAAGAATAAACTCAAAATGGGTTAAAGACTTAAATGTAAGACCTGAAACCATAAAACTTCTAGAAGAAAACATAGACAGTAAACTCTCTGACATAGCAATTGCTAATTTTTTTCTGATATATCTCCTTGGGCAAGGGAAACAAAAGAAAAAAATGAACAAATAGGACTACATCAAACTAAAACGTTTTGCACAGCAAAGGATACCATTGCCAAAATGAAAAGACAATCTACTTAATGGGAGGAGATATTTGCCTACGATACATCTGACAAGGGGTTAATATCCAAAATTTATAAAGAACTCATGCAACTCAACAATGAAAAAACAAACAGTTCAATGTAATAGTCTTTATACTAAAATCATTTATGATATAGTAGGAAAGATAATGGTAGTATCATGATAATACAAAAAAATATATGATAAGAACCATGAAAATGATAAAAACCAAACATCACAGATACTGAAAATAGAGAGGGGATGAATGTGAATAGGGCATAGAGTAAGTATAATGCATTTTAGGGGACAGAGCAAGGATAATGGAGCAAAGAATAAGCTGGTGAGGCTGCACTCTTGCCAAACACTGAATCAGTTAATGGCAACTGCCAACAGCCCTGGTGAACTTACTTGCGGAAGCAGTGAGCTGCTGTGAGCAGCCACGTGTTACTGATGAGGCTGGCTCCACACTGATGACCAGCATCTCTGAGCTGGAGGCTGGCCTGCCATGGCCACTCTCCTTCCATAGCTGTTTCCCTTCCTTGGACAATCCTTTCTGTAGAAGTAGATGCTGGTAATGGCATGTTTGAAGATGTCATCCTTATTCCACAGCCTGTCACAGAAACATGTGTTAACTTGTTTTCATGAATAGGAAGGGGTGAAAAGCATATCTTGACTTGCACTGAGTATCGATGTTTAGATAATCCATTGCACCTGCTACTCTTTAATCCCTTCCTAGCACTCAGTCTCCAAGGTTATTCTGTAGGGGTGCTACTGATTCTACTGAGATTCAGAAGAAATATTTACTAGCATTTCAAGGCATCCAATCCAGAAATTAACTTCTGTCTCTCTACATAAAGCATATAGAAATAAATAAATAGGTAGATAATTAATTGAGCATCAAAAATGTATAGATCCTCTGCTAATTGTTTTAGATACATTTACAATAAAACACTTTTCAAATGCGAAAATTCAGCTCTAGAGAGAGAACATAAATTTCTAGAGGTTATTCAACTGGTAAGTGACAGAATTGGATATAAAATTAGGAGAAACCACATCAACATTTGTATTTTTACTACCGAGAGAGAGCCCAATACCAAATGTAGGTCATGATTCTCCCTTGACATGAATCTATACTTTGTCTTTGGAAAGCTCTGAATTTTAAGTCTTAAACAATAATGACCTTTTCTAGATTTCTAAAATTTAAAAGTCTAGTTTTTAAAAATTCTGATTCCTTGATAATAAACCCTCAGCTGATGAGGCTTCAAATCAACCTTAAATAAGACTTGAAAGTATATTAGTATACTTTATTAGTGTATCTTTTAAAATTATTTATATTTTTAATAACACAAGTTTCTCTTTTCCAAAAAGAAATTTTATTCAGAAACAGGTAAATATTGTTGCCTGAAATTATATTTTCAGATTCATCATAATGCACCAGGATTAAATAGCTTTGGCTTAAGGTGAGCATAAAATTAAACAAATAGGGTTTCTATGTTAATATGGTACCATAACAGTTGTGCCTAGTACTTTCTCTCCTGACTTCCCCTTAAAATATGTATGAAGGTAATAATAATATAAATAATATCTACTAGTTATGAGCCAGGCCCTGTACATAGCACTAGATATATTTTCTTTAATTTACATAATAACTCTCTAGGGTAGGGGTTATTATCCTCATATTGCAAATGAAAAATTGAATCCATAGTATTGTTCAAAAACAAAAGAATCAAAATCATAAAAATTAAGGAAAAATAAGAAAACATTATAAATTCCGATAGTAATTTTCAGTAACTGTGATATACAACATGTTGCTTTGAGAAGCAACTTCTTTGACTACACAAGCTCTATCTTGTGAACTAGAAATGTGTGGAAAGCAAGAAGTTTGGCAAAGTCATTGGCTCACTGCTACTGTCACTTCCCAGCCCAGAAAATACAGCTGCACTGCACTTGTCCCCAGCCAAACAAAACCATAGTTTGAATAATCCCATTGTGACTCGTTAAATCTTTGTTTTATGTGTGTATTCAAAAGCCACAATTTCCAGTGCACCATCCTTTTTAGGAATGCAAAAAAGATGAGAATTGCTATGAAAATGTAGTTACTTCATTCAATGATTTGAGTGTGTATCTCCAAAATTTATATGTTGAAATCCTAACCCTTAAAGGTGATGGTATTAGTAGGTAGGATCTTTGAGAGATGCTCAATCATGAGGGTGGAGCCCTCACAAATGGGATTAGCAGTTTAACAAAGAGGCTCCAGAGAGATCCCTAGCCCCTTCTGCCATGTGATGATTGCAAGGAGAAGTCTACAAATCAGAAGAGGGCCCTCACTTGACCATGCTGGCATACTAATCTTGAACATCTAGCCTTCAGAACTGTGAGCAAACATTTCTGCTGTTTATAAACTACCCAATCTGTGGTATTGTTATAGCACCAAGAATAAACAGATACTTCATGAAAAGCAATTTAAACAGAGAAAGGAGGAGTACTGCCATCAGTGAATAAATGGAGCTGGTGGTACAAAGGGGGAGGCTAGTATAGTTTTCATTTACTCTGCGTGTAAGAGCAAAACTTAAGCCTGCATTTAATTATACAGCACGGTTAGGGCCACCCAAATCAGATGATATATAAACTCAGAAGACAAACATGTCTCTGAAAGGTATTTTCTACAAAAAAAAATTTCGGACACATGTGCTTGATAGCAGCAAAGATATGCAAGAAAACAAGACCTTACTATAACAAAAGCAGACAACCACAGGGAAAAAAATATGCTATGATAAGAGTACATAAAACAATAGGGCTCTCTCTGATTAAATAAAATTTTTAAAAAATCACAAAAAAATGTCATAGCAGGTATAAAATCCACATGGAAGAATTAAAGAAAAAGTTATACCAGACAATGAAGACAAGTGATTTTCAGTAGTACATATCTGATAAAAAAAATCTTTCAGAATGCAGAGGACAGGAACCTGAACTGGAATTAAAAATAATTCTTGATATGGAGGTCAGAAAATGGGCATTCAAATAATAAATCATTTGTCTTTCTGAGGAAGGAAAAAAAAAAAAGAAGCAGAATCAATCATTAAATTTATAACAAAGTAACGTTATTCCAGAGCAAGAAAATAATAGTGCACACATTGAAAATGCTCATCGTGTCCTTGTCAAAATTCAGTGCAAAACACAACCATATCTAGCTGTCTGGGCAAAAAAAAATTATGGGATAAATATTTTCTAATTTTATTCACGAACAAAGAAGAGAACCCACATAAGAATAAAAATCATACCAGACTTAGGCTGCTATAACAAACATACAAAAAGAAAAAAAGAAAAAAAGAAAGAAAAAAGAAAGAAAGAAAAAAAACTAAAAAAAAACCCCAAAAACCAGAATAATAGGTATAGAAATATTTGGGAAAATTTATTTATCACCCAATAATTCTACAAGACATTAAGATAAAGAAAATGAAAAGAGATTATTACAAATGCAAGTACTCAGAAAATATATTATTCGTATATTTTTTTTTGTTCAAAAATGACTTGAAGATACAGTTTAGCAGGCAAAAAGGTAAATCTAAATCAAGACTCAAGAATGGAAAATAGTAAAAGTATAACAAGAGACTTTGGTGGGGAATAAACAATTTTAACTAGGGGACAAAATGGAACATGATGTTTTAAAAAAGAATATTGCTAGAGTATGTACAGATTAGTTATAAGTAAAATTGTGACGTTATTTATCAAAAATTGGAAAGTCGACTTAAGTTGAGAAGAGAAATTTAGAAGTTCCTCATTATGTATAGTTTTTAGTTTATCCTTGAGTTTGATAAATAAAAAATAAAGGTTTATATATGGATTTAACAAACATAGGGCAAACAAGAAGATATAAACAGAAACAAAATGTATATTACAGAAAGAGTACAATAAAGGAAAATATGTACCAAAAACCAGAAAACATAAATGGGACGAACAAATATATGAATATTGACAATATTTGGAAATATGTTAGATGTCACATGTTATAAATAGAGAATAATCATTGTTTTTCAGTGTCTCTACAACATTTTAATGGGCATATATTTGTCCACAAAAGACTGTAAATATTCGCTGATATGGGGAAGGGGAAGGGAAATTTAATACGTACCAAATATTTCAACAAAAATGTAAGAAGCCTAACAAGTTGCCACTTTAAAACACTCTCTGAATTGTGAAAGAATATAGTAAAAGATAATCATTTAAGTATTAGAATGTTAGAAATATAATTACATATGTTATAATATTAAAAATACTGTGTAATTTTTTTACATTATGTAAGTCACAAAACTTAAAATGTATTTGGTGAAAGTTTAGAAATTTAAATGTTTAAAAAATAATAAACAATAATAAAAAGACTAAGTGTTTGTCTTACAAAAACAAAATGAACAAAAACAGTTTGGTATTATTCCAGTGAACATCTTGTATTATATATGAATATTAAATCATTATGTTGTATACCTAGAACTATTATGATATTGTGTTAATTATACCTCAGTGGAAAAAAAAAAAAACCTAGGTAAATTCTATCTCTAACTTTTCTTTGGCTTTTACTTATTATCTTTGCTATGAAAGAGACAGTTAAATATGAGTTTTGGAACTTACGGCTGTTGAGAAGATTTCTCATCTTTTTGCTGTCGATAGCTGAAATAAACAAAACATGAATTAGTTAGTAGAAGAATATATCCTTATATTCATGTAATTTTATTCAAATGATCACGATAAGAAATGCTTATTATCCAAAGCATACATATTTCAAGAGGGCATGAGATTTTTCATAACCATGTTATAAATAACTTTCTGATGTAGTCCAAAATATATAATTTTACTTTAAAATAAAAAGAGCATTTTGTTTTTATTTTTGCCAAGAAGTCAGAAAAATAAGTTAAGAAATTAGAAAGAATGATAAGGATAAATGTCCCTGATTGCTTTCTTTGGGAGTTCTAGTGTAACTCAAAGAAACAATCTCCAATTCCCATTACAACTGGTGTTCACTTTCTCTAGCCTGTGTGTGTTAGTAGCCCTGGCAGTCCTGTTGAAAGGGCAACTCCAGATAGCTAAAAACATCACAGACCCCTCACAGCCCAGTTTCTAGACCCTGGTCTGCAAAGGGTGGGAATTCAGTCAGTTCTGGTTGATGACCTTCTCCCACTGAGGATATCTCCCTCATGGTGAATAAAGTGGAAGATTGTAGATCTGGCATGAAGCTCTTATATACAGCCAGTCCAGGGACCCCACCCATACCACAATCTCTTCCTCCACTTTGTTTCCCTCTGTGACATCTTTTTCCCTTCAAAGTGTTTATTTAAACTCAGTTTTATTGGATTTTTGGTGGCTTGGTGTTTGTTTTGTTTTGTTTTGTTTTGTTTTGTTTTGTTTTGTTTTGTTTCGTTTTGTTAGAAAGTAAATAGAGAAGTATATAATAAGTTGCTCGGGAACACTGATTTTCCTAAAAGAAGGATGTGAGTCCCAAATCCTACTAGAGACTTCCTGGACATTTTACTTTTCTTTATTTAAGAAGAGATATGTTTGTGGCAGAAAAAAATATATGCAGTAGAATTTTGATTATTGAGTATGGTGATAGAATAGTTATTTTGATATTAAAACAGCATGTATAATAATTCAGCGTACATGACCAAGAAAGCAAAAAAAAATTTTTTTAATTGTAAAATGAGAAATTCTACACTTTGACGTCTCTTTTGTGATAAATATTTTACATTAACATATATGATCATACATTGGGGTAATTATCAGAATTGAGATTTAATTTGAGATTGCCATTTATAGAGTCCTGGAAAATACCATGTTTTATTTTAGAATATAATTGATTGATAATAAAAGCGGATACCATACTCTTCAATATTTCTAACTATTTCTTGAAAAAGTTGTCATTAAAGTGTATGCAATTCCATATCAAAATATATTTAAAGGGGTTTTATAATTTCTAACAGCATAGAAATTAACTTTAGACAATCCGTTTCTTAAATTCATGGTTGCTGGGAGGGTAAATACTTTCAGGTTCAAAGAGCAAGTCTTATTTTTTGGTATTAAATCAGAAGTAACTGAACTTGGAAATAATCTGAAGCAATGAACAAAGCTGGGACACCTATGGTGTGTGAGACATATGCCAGAGTTCGGTGGGGAGAGGTAAGAAAATAAAAAGACAAAGTCCCTATCTTGGCGCTACAATCTTATCTGAAACATTGTTTTGCTTTCTCTAATTATGTATTGGTTTAAAACAAAACAAAACAAAGCAAATACCTCTCAGCTAGGATTCCAGCTAGCTTTGAGGTAATTTAAGTTTCGTAAACTTTTTGAACTTCATTTTCTTCCACTTTTGGGGGAAAACAAAATGACAGCTTTTTCTAATTTTGTTTTGTGAGGAATAAATGAAGAGATGAATGAAAAAATATTTTAAATTGTAAATAAGCAAGAGAACTTCACAGTTTATGTCAATGATTCTTTCTACAGGGGTAAACCTTAATAAAGATGTCTATTGCATTGATACTGTAAAAGCTAACCCCCAGAACTGACCTGTAAAGTCCTCTGGGAGTTAGAATGCCTGGGCCAGGTCTGGCCTTAAGGCTTGCTAGTCCCAAGTCTTACATCTTCCTTGATCTCAGCTTCCTTAAAATGGTAAAAATAATATCTACTCTGTTATGCTTTTGAAATGATCTAATATGACAATACATGGAAAAATTTTAAGAAACCAAAGCAGAGGCCCAAATCAAATATAAGACAAATCTTCATAAAGCTAAACTTCACCTTATAGAAAATTTTTATTTTAGTTTTATTCCACACTGATATGTGTATATCAGTGGTGAATTCTTAAAATGAGAGAATACATTGACCTAAATTCTTATGAGAGGATTGTAAGGGAAGGGAATCACAAATATGATAAAAGAACTTACGTGTGAGTGTTAATGATGGTTTGTCTATAGTCAAAGGCAACTGTTTTGTCTTTAGACTTTGATATAAAATATTCTCAATTTTTGTCCTGATTCGTTCAGCACTACCAGTAGATGGGTATCGAAACATGAGCACCACAAGAATGTTCACACCATTTTCATCTGGACTGAAGAGTAAGAAAAAACAAACAAACAAACAAAATACAGATAGAGAGAATAAAGCTAGTTCTCTAACAATTAATTGTTTTTAAATGTTAACATTCACACTAATTTTTAAAGAAACAATGGATGGCATATGTGTATATCAAATTTACATTATCTCTAGAAATACTGGCTAAGATACACAGCTAAAAAAAATTGTTCTCTCCCCTTACTTAGCTTATAGTCTAGAGGAGGTTGTGAGAGAAGGAGACGTTCTTGAAATAATGCTTTTTGTGCACTTAAATGATTTGCTTTTCAAGGAATTCTGAACCAAAGTTGTAATCAACATCATTATTCTTCAATAGTGATGTGGCAGGGACAATGCTTTGTGTCACCAAACCCTGAGCACAGATATAGACTTCATTTCTAGCCTCCCTTGCAGTTTATTGAAACTGTCTAGTGAATTCTGGGCAATAGAATGTGTAGAGAAATGAGGGACCCCACTTCCATGCCTGACTCCTGAAAACCTCCCATACCATTTTCCATGCCTTCCTTTATTTTGCCACTCTTCCTTTATTTGCCAACCAGATGCAGAAGGTCCAGTGGGCATTTCCACAATCTCTACCAGCACTTCCCCTGCTTACACTTCTGACTTGCTGAACTGAACCACCAAAGTGAAATAAACCTTTATTGTGTTAAACCATTGATATGTTGGGGTGTGATGGTCAGTTAATATGTTTGATAAGAGAATGATTAGAGAAAGCAGTTATAAAAAGAAATATTTTGATAAAAGTTTCAAATATATTAATTTATACTGTAAGATATAGGGCTAGAAAACCTCTAGTCACTTTTGGAGAATCAACTTCATCTGAAACATATAAAGAAAGAAGGAAGGAAGAGAGAGAAGAGGGAAGGAAGAAGGAAAGTAAGGAAGAAATAAAACTAGGGAGGGGGAGATTTTGGGGGAGAAAGAAAGAAAAGGCTCCTTAAACATATGTGTATTTACTATAAAGAAGTAAGCAGATAGATAAATATTATAAATATATATGTGTGTATATATTATATATTAATATCTACAGAAATAGTTTAAAAACTTTAATCAAAATAGGTAGAAAAGATATATTATTCTAATAAATGCCAAGCTTTTGGATGATATAAATGATATAAAGAGCACATTCAGAATGGATTCTGGTAATTTATTTTAGCCTCTGACAACAAGTGTATGTTCAATTTATGTATATTGTCTTTTATCAGCACATAAAAATGAAAAGCATTAAAAATAATAATAGAAATGCAAAGACATTAAAGAAAAACCTTATTGCAGAGAAACTCATAGGCTCATTAGGACAATCAAAAAGAACGGAACTAAGTTCTACTGAGCTGCTAGTTTAAGGAGCAGGGTGTGTTAGCAGCACCATTCCTCCTCTTCCTGTATTTTTTTCTCTGGGAGAGTACTTTTTTTTTTTTTTAATCTAATAATTGATATTGTCTCTTGTCATAGAGCATTTTACATATTTCTATTGGTAATGGGAAATGGCTAGGCAATATAAAATAGGCTGCTCAGGATTTATGAAATCTTTGTGTTCCTGCAAAGATTTGCTCAGGGAAGCAGAGCAATTGCTTGTTAATGGTTCTAGTTTAAAGTTGCAAACCAAGTTCACATACCTTATTTGGATAACATGAGATTTGATAAACCGACCTGCTCCAGAAGAACGCTGAAATATCCTAGACATCTGATTAGAAAAATTTTAAGAAGTATTAGTCTTAAGAAAAATATTACCCTGACTTATATCTAGAGACTTGAGTCAATAGCAAGGATTTCGATTTATTCTTAGATATGTGGACTGGTTGTTCACAGTGATAAGACTAAATCAGATTCTAATTCTTATAGAACTGAACAACCTTAACAAAATTGTTCAATTTTGCTAAGCCTCTGAAATTACAATAATAATCACAATATCAACTTCATAGAGTTGTTTTGAGAATTAAATGAGATAATATATGTCATACATTTCACACCTTGCCCGGCATATTGTAAGCTATTAATAATGTTCATTTTGATTTTCACCAAATCAATTAAAATATCTGTGCTTCTTTTTAAGGCAGCATCCTCACTTTTAAGAAAGTCCACCCTAAGTTTGGCTTGTTCTCGAATATGGTATGCAGTTCATTATTGATATTAATTTATTAATTTCTTAAATGATTTTATTTATTTAATAAATGTAATATTTATTCTGTGACTCTGACACCCTCACTTATTAGTCATCTCTCTGTGGCAGGCAGGTTTTCACGACTGGTACTAGGTTTAGAAATAAGTTTCACCATGCTCCATACTGTCAACAATTTATTACTCAGCTTTTCCAGTCTGAACCATTGAATGATTTTGGATGTTTGGTAAACTGATTTCCTAAAGGGTCCTGATTCCCAAAAGACTGTTGAGGAGCTGCCTTAGAGACAAAAAAACACTAGATTGAGAGTTGGAAATTACAGGTTCACATAAATTTACACAAGGCCCACTTCCATGGTAAATCTTGCCCCTCAGTTACTACATCCTTCGGGAAGGGGGACTATTGCCTCCTTCCCCATGAGATTCCTCCCTCTCCTTCACTTTTCTAAACTAGTAACAATACTCAGTAGATTTTAGCTCCTAAATATTGATTCTACCTCCTTTCCCTCAATCCCACTGTAATGGTCTAAAATCAGTTCCATTAAAACCTGTGTCCAGGCCTTTGGAGTAGTCTCTTCACTTACAGCTGTATGTGGTTCTAGTCTATATTTCCTCTCCTCCGTTGTTCCCCCACAATGCTAGCAACCAGAATGATATTTCTAAAGTACAAATCCTTCTCTTGGCCCTTGCCCACTCCCACTTCCAAAGCCTAGTCTCTATCTAAAGCCTGTTCTTTCCTAAGCCCACTAGACAGGTTCACACCTCTGTGACTTTGCACATTCATTTCCTTCTTCCAACAACACACTTTTTTTTTTCCTCAGGAAATTTCTTCAGTGAAAATTCTGTTATTTTTCAGAAACTCCAGTGACAACCAAGTTACTTTTGACTTGTCCTCCTCAGACAAAGGTGAACACTCCAGCATCTTGCCTATGATTCTATTATAGTAATTATCATGCTAGTTTGCAGTTGTGTTTCTCCCACTCTAGACTGTGAGCTGTGTGATGGCTGGGAGTGTGTCTGATTCATCTTTGTATCTCCAGCATTTAGTATGGTGATTAAGCACATTGTCAACTAGTAAAGCTCTCTTTTACTAGAAGATGATTTTAGAAACATCATTTGACTTCTCTGTACCTATGTTTCCTCATTTGTAAAAGTGGAATTATACAGCAGTTACCTTGTAAAGTTGTTATAAAGTTATAAATAAAGCATAGATGACAACAACAACAACAACAACCAAAGGAAAAAAAAAGAGACAGTAATGGCTCTGGCACATGAATTCAAGGAATCTGGCTCTAGATCTTGTGTTCTTAAGTACATTAAGTGACATTGACAGCCCTGAGTTCCTTCTGTACTTGACAACAGGTGTTCAGGTTGGTGGAATGAGAGAAGTTGTGGGGCAGGAACCCTTAAAGAAGGCCTCAATACATCTTTTATTTCCTGACTCTAAACCTCATAAAAGATAACCTCTTGGGAGCTTGCTTTTTTCCTGCTTCTGAGTTTAACAGGTCTAAGGGAACTGGTCCTCTCCAGAAGCGTAATCATTATTGTAAGTTATTTATGGAGATGTTTAACTCATGTTTATATTTTTTTACTGAGAACTCATTAGTATTACACTTAGTCTAAATTACAAAAATCAATTGTATCTTTCCCTTTTCATGATCCAGTCCTAAGAACAGATCATTTTATTACTGATTATTCCATTTAAAACAAGATATCTAAGATCATGGTAAAATGGAAAAGTTCACCTTAAAATCTGATACCAATTGTAGTCTTTGGTTTGATCTCCAACATTAAAAAGCAAAACAACATGTTCGAAACAATACATGTGGCTCTTACTAACAGTATACTCAGTACTGTCTCCAGCAAGCTTGAGCTTATGGCTTCCCCTCTGTCTGGGAACTACATGCAGATTAAGTTTTCATAAAAAAGATCAGTAGTTACTGGATGCCACCTAGGGAATCTCTTTCCAGGTCCACCCATGAAAACAAGTCAGGCAAATTCTGCAGTCTTCCTGTTACTATCTGGGGAATATATACCAGCAGACGGCAAATACACCAACAAAAAAAAATTCCCTTTCCCTTTCTTCTCCAAGAAAGCTTCCTGCCAGCTCAAATGATTTTTTTTCTTTTTTTGAACTCCTAAAATACTGATCATTCAAGTCATATATTTGACCATTATATTGTGTACTGTGGCAGCTCTCATGTTGTTATATCTCTTTTTAGCTCTTGTATTATTATCTGAATCTTCAATTTGCATTATTTTTTGCACAAACTTCCATACATAAACCATATTATAGACTCCATAAGGAAGAAACTGTGCTGTGCAGACCTTGGTATTTTTCACAGAAGCACAAAGTGGGTTGCACAATAACATTTTCATTAATTGAATAATTCTCCAGCTATGGTTAATCTTAACAGTGCAATGAAAAATATCCTGGTTTTTGTACTCCCTCACAACTCTCACATTTTACCCTGTCTCCTTCCCTTTTTCGTATGTATTTATTTGTTCAACACAATTGATTAGGAGTCTCTCACATTTCAGGCATTGTGACAACACTGGATAAAGAATAGTGAACAAAATGTTGTGGTGCCTGTATTCATGGACTGAAAATATAGAAATAAATAAAAAGGCAATTAGTATAGTAAAGTCCTAGAGAATAATGGCTAGGGGTCTATAATGGGAGAGGGTTCTCCAGGGAGGTGACATTTAAGTGATATATGAATGATCAAAAGGAATAAGATACAAAAAGAGCAGTAGTACGGGGTAATCTTCCAGGTAAAAGGAATAGAATGTGCAGAGAATCAAAAAAGAAAAAAATAAAAAGGTCAATATGCGTAAAGAGTGAGCAAGGAGGAGAGTAAAGAAGTTGGAGGAATAATCAGAGACAAAGTATTCAGGTCCTTGGAGGCCTTTGAGAAGAGCATAGATATTCTAAACACATTCAGAAGCTACTTGTGATATTTTAAGCAAAACAATAACATAATGTGTTTTTAAGAGCTAATTCTAGTTGCTATAGAGACAAGATATTAGAGGGAGTCTGAAGTGGAAGCAGTGATTACTGTAAGCTGCCTATCTGAGGAAATATATTGGGTTTAGGATAGAGATTATAAATTAGAAGTAGAAACATTACTTGTGAATGGATTAGACAAAAAGATAAGGGAAATGTAGATATTCTAGCAGCTAGATGGACAGTGATATCATTTATTGAGTGGGGAAAAAATAGAAATAAGAGAACGGGATGGGGAAGCAACTTTTAATAATTGGATTTAGATATGATAGCTTTGAGATGCCTGTGAGAGGTCCAAGCAGAAATGTCACATAGACAATAGACTGTACAAATCTGGGATTCAGAGACATCTGAGTTAGAGACTAAAATTTTGGATTTAGAGCTATTGCATATCTATCAGTACTTCTCTTTTTTCTGCTTAAGAGAACCCCTCTTTCCTATAGAGCAGCAGTCCCCAATCTTTTTGGCACCGGGGTTCCTATGAGAATCTCATGCCTAATGATCTGAGGTGGAGCTGAGACGATGATGCTAGCACTGGGGAGCAGTTGCAAATATAGGTGAAGCTTGGTTTGCTTGCCCACCGCTCACTTCCTGTTGTGCGGCCCAGTTTCTAACAGGGCACGGACCAGTACCAGTCTGCAGCTGAGGGGTTGGGGACCCCTGCTTTAGAGAACTCACTCTATATGGTTCAAATGAAGATTAAATTCCCCCCTTCTCCCATCTTTCACAGCAGCGGCACAATTTTACTCTCTCAGTTAAAGTGATTATTGTAGGGATGAGCAGGTGTTCCAAATTAGGACAACTAGATTGGTTCTTTAAACTTTCCTCCAAGGACTATTATGGAAAATTATCTTTTCCTCCTTCAGTTAATAACCTGTGAAAATGTGAGTGTAAAGTAGCTATTTGCTATCTTATCTGCCACAAGGACAATAAATATTTTAAAAAAATTAAAAGCCTGAGGACATTGTTTGACACTCTGAATCTAGCCATACCTGAAGCCAGATGAATCTCTAGATTTTTCCCAACAGTCTTGTCTTTCTTCCTTTCTTTTTCCCTCACTTCTCCCTCCTTCCTTTCTCTCTTTTATTCATCTTTTTTCTTTGACTCGTTAATTTGGTTTCTATTATTTTCTACCTAAAGTGTCCTATTTATCATGAGAAAGGATGATATCATTTATAGAGCAACAAAAGAAAAAAAAGCAAAGTCAGAATCATGCCTTGGATGATCTGGTGACCTAGGTAAATGGAAATTTTACTGTCTATAATCACATACAAGCAAATAAAGTTTTTCTTTTTTCTTAAGAAATTTCTTAAGAAGCTGAGTTCACTTAAATGATGATGAACTATGATGAAAGAGATGTAGCAAATATTTGTTCCCTACCCAAACTGCATTTACCGGACAGGCACATCCATTCTCCAGCTCAAACCTATACTTCTCCGGAAGCCTGTCCTTGTCTGAGTACCTGAATACCTTTCCCAGTGGTGTCTGGGAGCTTGTGCTCTACTTTCCCTGGTCAGCCCTTGTTGGTATAACGCAAACAGCTCAGACTTTTTATCTCTGGACAGAACCATCTCTGTTATAATTTAGGTTCCAGATATCCCAGAGAAATCAAGCTGAGCCTGCACTTCTGAAACCATATCTTTGTCTAGCTTCTTACTTTGCTCTTTCCTGTTGCCCTAACTTTCTTACAAGACTTTCCTGAAAGCTTTTGGTTAATAAATCGCTTAACCAAGAATCTTTATCAGAGACTCTGCTTTTTAGGATCCAGCCAATACAGGGATAAATTAGTTGGAGCTAGAGAAAGCTCTGCTATGCATCTACTTCAATGTGTCCATTCTTTGGAAGATTGGTGACCCCACATCTTCAATTTTCAGATGTAGTTTTTAGCTTGTAACCAGGAAAAGATTTAATAAACTTAAATGGAAAAATGTTTTTAGAGAGAATATTATGTGTCTTCAAAGGTGTTTTTGCATTGAGTTACTTCCTTAAAATAGAAAAAAAAAAAAAGAAAGAAGATAGGAAAAAAGACTTTTTAAAGATTTAAACTTAGTTGTAGTTTTAGAGCATATACAGCACAGTAAAGAAGGTTCTGGTAGGAAGTTATTATTTAAAAAAAATTAGAAAGGTATAGAGCCAACACTAGTAGCTGTTTTATATTGAAAATTCTGCATTGTGGATGGAAGTCATCTTCCTATCCAACAAAAATTGTCATATCATTTATAGTATTAGCTTTTTGAATTATTCTGACATTGATTTCCAAAGTGAAGCCAATGTTTCATAGAAGATGTGAAAAATATCTGAACTTCTATTTATATTTATTTTTATATAAACAAACATGTTTTTAAAACACTGACCCTCAGGTTTGAAATCCTACCAGGAGAATACTGACTACTTGATGTCCCCAAGGAGAAAGTGGAGATCATTTAGAGGATGGAGGGGTTAGAGGGGATGGAGGATGGGCAAAATGGATGAAAGTAGTCAAAAGGTACAAACTTCCATTTATAAAATGAATAAGACATGGGGATGTAATTTACAGTATGATGACCATAGTTAATAGGTTCTGTGACTTTAGGCAAAATGACATATAACAAAAACAATTTTACCATACGCTAATTGATATAAAGAAGAGTTAAGTTTCTATGACATATCAATCGTATCAATCTTATAATAAAATGATATTATTTGAGGACCAGCTGTATATTTGAAAGTTGTCAAGAGAATAGATCTTAAAAATTGTCATCGCAATTAAAAAAAATTATAGTTGTGTGCGATGATGGATGTTAACTAGACTTATCGTGGTAATCATTTTGCAATAAATACAAATATCAAATCATTATGTTGTACACTGAAACTAATATAATGTTATATATCAATTATATTTTAATAAAAATAAAATAATCTGGATATAATTCCAAATAAATTCGCCAACTAATAAAGCAAGAAAAAAATTCTGGCAACATGATTATAAAAAGCACTGTTAAGTGAAAATCATTAAATAGCTATGAAAATGAAAATACTATTTCTTGATATTCAACATTTAGAATTAACTTATATAAAGATAAATGACTAAAACGAAAACACTTCCCTACATTTTATTAATTCAGAGAAAGGTGAATGCAATGAGTGAAGAGTTGGAGTGCTAAGTCCTTATCTTTTAATTAAGAGATTGTCTATAGCTAATCATAAAGAATCATATTAATTCAGTTCATATCCTATAGACACATTACTTCTCTTTTCCCCAATAGTTCTCATAAGCTTAAAGGAGTACTCTAGGCTGATACACTAGTTTTGCTAAACAAATCTATGGTGTCGTAGACATGGTTGTCATGAGATTGAAAATAGAAGATTATTCTATTTGACTTTCTGCGATGACAGGTAAAGATTTAGCTTGCCTAATAAATGCATGTTTTCAAGGGAAACCAAATATTTGAGGGGGATTACTATATTTGAGATTGATATCAGGAATTAATGACATGCATCCTTGTATGTAACCCTTTACATACTTTTAAAGTCAAAATAAAGACAAATGTGGAAATCCTATATTCTTAAGTTAAAAAACAGATTAAGGAAAATGAATTGAGAAAGATAATCAAATAGTTGAAAATAGGGAAAACAACTGTTTTATCCAACAGTTTCTTCAGTTAGTTACCTACTAGGCAATTAGTTACCTACTCTAATTTACGTACATTTAATGGTACAGGGTGTTATTCTAAGTATTTTACATATATTAAGTTATTTAATCCTCATAACCATATGACGTAGATACCATATTATGCTCTTTTTTTTTTTTTTAATTCAGTACAAGTTTATTTCTGATGATAAGAAATATCTTGTTTCTTTGGCCAAGAAACTAGTAACCCATTTTTTCCCCTATTATTTTATCTTCTCTGGAGAGATGCTTTGCTTCACTAGTCTCAGAGTTGATAGCACTGAAAAATATGAAGTCTAGTCCTTTCCTTTGAAAAGACCAAAGTGCAATTCATGATTACATGGAGGCATAAGAAATATTAATTGAGATCTTTCTATGTGCTGGGCACTGGAGATGAAATAATGGATAAAGTTAAAACATAGATTAGAATTCCTGTTCTACTACTTATTAACTGAAGAGTCATGTATCTTTGTACCTGTTACTTAGTTTGAAAAGCTAAGATAATGAGAACATCTACCTCATATATTTGCTGTGAGATATTTAAATTAGTTTTGTATGCAATATGTGGCACATGGCACATGTTTATCAAATGTTCTATAATAGACACAAGTTATATTATGCTCATTTTTACAGAAGAAGAAATTGAGGCATTGAGAGGCTAAGTTCCTATGACAATCATATTCAAAGTAAGGCAGAAAAACACATTCATAAACTTTAAAAATTTCTATCGGGCTTACCATCCTCTCAATCTGATGACTCCTTTGTGTAAACTCTCTTGAGGTTCTCATTCCATAATTTTCTTTGTATTTTATATTTGTGACTTGAAAAGAGGCAATGTAATAAAATGATTTATCATCTGAAAGGTAAAAATAAACAAAAGATCCATGCTTAAAGATAATCAGTTTCTTGTCCTCTACCTCCCAGAATACAGGCTTACTATAATGCAGTTTATTTCCTCTTACTACAAAAATTATTATGAGCATTTTTCAAATAGTAATTGTGTCATCATCCCCAGTTAAAATAGACAATTCAGGCCTCAAAGCATACTTTTAGAATATCCCATTAACAGTGTTTACACATATCAAAATTTTTATACAATTGGACATGTAACATACAGTGAAAAGTAAATATTAAAAATAACTGCAGAAAGTCATATAAAAATTATCAATTTCATCAAAGAACTGTAATATAGGTGTATCATAGCTAAGCTGTATTATGAAGATACATTGAACAGGCTATTTTTTTTTTCTATGCTACTGATAAGCTTACTTAAATAGAAGCCTATATTTATTGTTTACACTTTCTCTTTGCCCATTCATTTCTCAATTCTGTGTAATCTACTAACACACCACTAAAACTGCCATTGTCAGGAACCACAGTTGTAATATCAAGTGGCCACCTTTATTTGTTTGTTTGTTTTCTTAATTCCTTTGCAGCCTTAACCATGTTCCTTGAAACTCCATCTTTGGCTTTATGAAGCCATCTTCCCACTTTCTTCCATCCTTCCTGACCATTCATTCTCAGTTACCTTAGAGAACTCTTCATTCCACCTTCTATCCTGAGCCACCCAATAATCTGTGTTTGGCTTGGTCATTTTAAATAACTCCTTCTGGATAATCTTAACTATGATGGCCTCAAACGTCGACTATTTGTTGATATTAAAAGATAAACCAAGACATACTTAAATTTTCAAGTTTATTTGAGCAAACATCAATTCCAGCAGGGCACTGCCAAACCAAAGTGGTTAGGAGCACTCCACCAATAGGAGCTAGAGGAGATTTTTATAGAGAAGAAGCAGAAGCAAAGCAAGATAATTATTTGATTGGCTATAGTTTAAGTGGTTGCTTTATGTGAGAAAGCCTGTTTGTAATTGGTTGTTGTAAGTTTTGTTTTTTCAGATGAGTTCACTGACTCTGGTTTAGGTTTTGGTTTGCTTATGAAAGCTACAAAGTCATTAGCATCACCTCAGTTCAATGACCTTCCTGTTTAATTACTTTAACAATTGATGACTCCAAAATTTTTATATCCAGACCAGCTCTTTGCCATGAGTTTCAATTCTGTAACAACTGGCTTCAGGCGCTATTCATTGGACATCCAATAGACACCAATAGACAACATATTTCCAAAAAAGAAATAATTATTTACCTCTTTCTATACTCAAACCTTCTTTATTCTGTTTTCTGTCTTCATAAACAGCGCTATCATCCACACAATTACCCAAGCTTGGCTTTATCTTCATTTCCAATATCAAATCAGTTGTGCAGTCTTTAAGTTCTATGGGTGCAATCCACTGATATCTCTTGAATCCTTTATCCCATTCAGAAAAGCTGCATCTTTAATTCAGGTCCACATCAGCTACTCAGCTAATGTCTATCCAAAACAAATGACTTCTATATAAAAGAAATTCCCCCATCTAGATTATCTACCTTAAATGCTACCATTTCAATCTACTTCATCATTTAGACTAGGAGTCCTGGAATAATCTTTGATCTCTTCCTAATTAATCAGCAAATTCTGACTATGTTACCACCTAAATTTTTAAAATCCATCCTCTATTCACAAATTCTGCTACTGTTAGCGCTGCAGTTTATTCCCTCATCATCTATTGTCTAGGGAATGTAATAGTTTTCCAACTATTACCCAGCCTCAAGTTCTTTTTTTCTTCAGATCTATTCCCTACGTAGTAGCAGAGTGATCTTTTTAAATTAAAAAAAAAAAAGTTCATAATATTGCTTCTCCGGTTAAAACACTTTAAATTTTCTCCATTGTCTATGTTAAGGAGTCTCAACTTTTTGCTATGACACACGGAGGTTTTCTTTGACCTAGATCCTGCCTACCTCATGCACATATTTTTTGCCACATTCCCTTTAGGATTTATGTTGAAATTACAGTACAATGTTTGCATTCAACATGTTGTTTTTTGCATTTGAAGAGGATGCACCATTTCAGGTAATATGAACACAGAGAACAGTACCTTAAACTTTTTATAAAGTGATGAATTAATTAATAATTATTTCAATATTCCACATTTATTAAGTGCATTATATATCTAATTTTTAATTTAATTAATTATTTTAAAACATTGTTTTCAGATTATAAGTGCTGTTTCAGAAACTCTGCAATTAACAGATGAGTATATATAAAAGAATAAAAACAATTGTACGACCCTAACATCTAGAAGTAACTGATGTTATTATTTTAACTTATCTTTCTCTTTCTAAAAATACTGTTTTAATTGACTCACGCTAGGGAAGTAAAAAAGTAATGTTCCAAAGATCACACAACTAATACATGCTGGACCTGAGATTAAAACCAAGATTCATTTGATTCTAAATTCCATGAAAGAACATGTTCCCTACATTCTCAAAGTGGAGCCAGTTCTGCAGAATGGGAAGACAAATGATACTATGCCAATTCAGACTTTACTTGTAGGTTTCAAAAAAAAAGTCAAACTTTAAAAATAGGTTTAGAAAATTGGATTTAGTGAAAATACAATTTTAAAGACTATGTTCTTCAAAATATTTTGTACAACATTTTATAAAACAGATTTGTTTTTAACCATAACAAAAGGCATAATAAGTAATTCTAAATAATCCTGAAAAACTTAAAGTGGATCATGAAATATTCATTGAAAAATATGACTTATGATATAATTCTAGATAATTAAAAAGAATAAAAACCAGACAACTAAAAAACTCAATGTTTGAATTTTTCTAGTTAATGTCATATTTCATGTGAATGGTGGTGGTGATTTTCCTTATTAATATTAAAAAATCCTCATACAATTCTGAAAGTATCTATCTATCTTCTATCTATCTATCTATCTATCTATCTATCTATCTATCTATCTACCTATCAACATTTATTTATCTACCTATTTATCCATCCATTCCATGGTATTTTCATTGGTAGGACATATTTGCAACACATACAACTGACAATGGATGTATATCCAGAATATAGAAAGAATTGCCCAAATTAATAGAAAAGACTGATGATTCAATAAAAAATGGAGGAACTATTTGAACAGACACTTCACAAAAAAAGGAAATCTAAATAATCGATTAAGACATGGATGGGTGTCCAATATTACTGGCAGTCAGGCAAATACAAATTTAAATTACAGTGATAACATTACAGTATACACAAAATTAGCAAATATATAAAAGTATTCCAAAAACAAGTATTGGTAAGTTTATGGAACAATGGGAACTCCTTTGCCGTAATGATAGAAAACAGCCTGGTCTTATCCATAAAGGTATAAAAGCACATGTTCAGTGACCTGGCAATTCTACATTTGCATATGTTCCCTAGACAAACTCCGGCATGTATGTACCAAGATATAGGTATAAGAAGATTCATAGCAATCTGGTTTAAATGTTTATCCTTGAATATTCAAAAAGATAAAGACAATTATGGCATGTTTAAGACAATAGGATATTAATAATCAATACTGAAAATAAATGGGCTAAAATTATCTGCAAAAAAGTGGATGACTCCTGCAAAAATGTTGAGTAGAAACAAGGATCAGAAAATATCTATAATGTTGTTATCTTTATTTATTTTCAAATAGGATTTTATTTTGAAATAGTTTATTTCCCTTTGAATAAAAAAAAGAGGATTGAAATGAAAATTCCAAAGATAAAAAGAACCCAACAGTTCACCGGTATTTTTATTATGAAAAATAACAAAAAAAGTTAGGGAAGTTATCTGGCACTTAATATTTAATTACTAACACAGAAATTATCTTTTAAAGTAATACCCAAGAGTTTATGGACTTGTAAATATAAAACCCGAGAAAGAGAAAAAGTAGCCCCCTATGCTCCTCTTGAATATAAACAATTTCATTGAACATCATTAGACAAGACCACCCTGTGACCAAGTAGATGAAGACCATTGCATAGATATGTTTGAACTCAAACAAAAGCACTGTCCCAACAAACAAACAAACGAATGAATGAATATCTTCCTATCCTAGCTATTATGAGTGACTGCTGCTTCTCTAACAGTTACAGCCTCACTTTATTGCTTTCACCTTCTATATAAGATTCATTAAGATACAAAATTACAGCATTAATCTAGCTTCCTGAAAACATCCAATCTAAAGAAAACCCTTCCTCAAGTAACCTAACACGAATCAAAATCTTACAACACATACTTTCTAACAATCTCTGACTAAGCTGATCCATGGCTACCCATGGCATATACTCTCCTTCTCAGCAACATGTAATAAATCAAACCTGTTCAATTACATATATGTTCCCAGTGGTCTCTGGTTGGAGGGCATTGACAAACCATTAATATTCAAAAGTCACTGTATTATTTTATAATCCTTATTTTAAATATTCTGATATAGCAGGGAGTAGATAGTTGGTCAGTATTATAGTATAGCGAAAGCTGATCATTGATAATTTTTGAGATTCTTAGGATAAAAATAACTATCAAATACACTTCGATCCTAGTGATATAAATTTTATCAAGTCCGCTAAAATTCTTACTTCTGTTTTGATTGTTTCACATATTTTATTATTTTTACTCTCCTGCCTTTCAGATCAATTTATTTCCACTCTTTAGTATTTTAAAAATATATTTACTTATTCATGGTATTATCCTGATTACTGCAATGTGATTTCCTTCACTAACTTGGTTTTGATTTCCTTATGCTATAAAAATATGTACATTACTTTTCTGAAATGTGAGTGTGTGATCTTAGATATCTCTACCTTACCCCCTTCCACTTGTTTATCCTTTGTCATAGACTATCTTCTCCTTTGTTTTACTAAACTTTTATCTATAATCAGGCAACTCTCAATTAACGGCAATGGGTAATCCATGTAATAGATTTCTCACATTCTTGGATGTTAACCTCTGTGTTAGTTTCCTATTGCTGCTGTAAAAAAAATACTACAAATTAATTGTTTAAAACAACATAAATTTCTTTTCTTACTGTTCTGCAGGTCAAAAGTCTGAAGTAGGTTTTAGGGCTAAAACCAAGGTGTTGGCAGAGCTGGTTCTTTCTGGAGGCTCTAAGGGGGTAATCTTTTTCTTTGCCTTTTTTTCTGCTTCTAGACGCTATCCTCATTTTTTGGCCTGTGGTCATGTACCACTTTCCACTCTTCTCCCCCTGCTTCTTTTGTCACATGGTCCTCTTCCTTCTTTGACCTTCTTGCCTCTCTCTTATAAAGACATTGGGGTGACATGTAGGGCCCATCAGAAAGTCCAAAATAACCTCTCCCTCTCAAAACCCTTAACTTAATCACACTGGGAAAGTCCTTTTTGCCATGTGAGGTAACATTCATAGGTTGTAAGGATTAAGACATGGATGCCTTGCGGGAGGAGCATTATTCAGTCTACCACAATCTATGATATTTTTAAATGCTATTTTTCCCATTATTTTTGCTATTCCCTCACTTTTTCTTTTTTGAGCACCTGTCATACTGGGGGTGGAGCATACTTTAAAAAGAAAACTACTTCACTACCTTTTAAATCAAAGAGGATATTAACAAGAAAAATACAATTGCAAAGAGTAGCTTGGTTTATTTTTTTATTTTATGAGAGTCTAAGAAATGGATATTATCAATCCCCCAATAAAGTAGGAAGGAAAACAAGCTGGGCATGTTGGACAATATTCATCTCTGCCTGGGAGGTCTTTCAAGTATGGTTTTATTGTTGCGAGTCATATAATTCTGTAAAATTTTAGGCAAAGTCTCAGTCACATATATAAATACCCATACCAAAGACAAAGGTAAGTTAATCTTGGTTGATTGTCATTTGGTTTAACTATGATACTAACTATCCATTTTGTATATAATGTGTAATTAATTCTAACTTTTCCCCCCAGTTATGAAACAATCCCTTTTTTCCTCAAAATAATGTTTAATCTTAAGCCCTTTAAAGATGGTTTTTTTTTTGGTAACTTTTCTCATATCATCAGCTTTTCTTGGGGCAACTTATTAATTTATTGATTTTGAACAAAGTATATTAAACTCAGCACATGATGTGATTTGACTTATTCTAAAGATAATCTTGTCATTCTTTCTCTTTTTAAATATGTATTTCTTTTAGATGTGTCTATACATGTAGTAGTGTATATTGTAAACTTCACTGGCTGGAAACATGTAACATAGAGCTCAATACCATAGCAAACTATAATTTAACATCAGTTAAAGATTAGTAATTAAAATGCTAATATGCACATAGTATATTTATACAACAGAGAATTTCAAGATATTAAGTCATGGAGCACTTAAGCAATAGAAATGTGACCTGGATACTTACCCTCAACAACAAAATGAGTAACAATACCAATTGCGATGCCTATGATTACTACAATTGCCAATGTGAACAGCGCTAGCCTAATAGGGTCCCAAAATTGCTGTCTTCTTTGATATTCAACTTGTGGGTAATCAGCTTCTGAAAATTCAACTGGTCTGTGATAATGGAAAGAAATAAACAGTGAGACAAAAAACATTCATTATGTCTACTTGCTACGTTACTCTACGAAAATAGTTTATATCATTAAATAATAATAGGATACTTAGATCTTAAAAAGAACACAAGGTTTTAATTTGTATATCCATCCCCTGTACCCCAATCAGAGTATAACTTTTAGTTAAAACTTTACTAATGTTGACATTCAAGTGAGGATATTTTCTCACTTCTTTCTGTCTGATATATTGGCAATTTGAAATTTGGGTGATGAAATACAAAGACCCATTTAAAGAAAAAGTAATTAATAAATAACATTATCATATTTTAATATGGGAGTTTTTAATAACAAAGTTACATAAGAATCATCAGTTTAACTGATTAAGAATAAAAATCTTAATATAAAAACTTTTTAAATTTAATACTTTTTAAAATTTCTTAATGGCTTGTCTGTAAAAGTACTCACATTACTTTTGAAGACCTGATCATAATTCTTCACATTTTGTTAGTACTTCTCAGTGAAATCACAAATTGTAAATTGTACCTGATAAAACTTCAGTCCCCATGAAGACTCTTCATTTCCACTTGACTCTTATCTATTCTTATTCATGTACTACCTGATCACCCAAAACATTTTTATTTTTTTTCTTATGAGTTTATTTGAACCAAATTGATGACATATGCCAAGGAGCAAGATCTCAAATACTCCTCTCAAAGCATCTTAAGCCATTTAAATTCTCTTTCTCCAACTTGAAAGTTGGCATTTATTTACTTTATTTTCTGAATCTCCAAATGGGATTTAATATTTAATATCTTCGAATAAGATATTAATGTTTGTAAATGTTTTGTTTTTAATTTTATCTAACAAATATTTATTTAAACTTTATTCATTAAATGAGATAATAGAAAGTCCTTAGAATAGTACCTACTACATTATAATTATGTTTCAGAAATCGTTCTGGAGCCCTAGAGGTATAAAGACTTAAAGATACACTCTTTGCTTCTAGAACAGGGATCCCCAACCCCTGGGTTACGGACCAGTAATGATACATGGCCTGTTAGGAACGGGGCTACACAGAAGGAGGTGAGCAGCAAGAGAGTGAGCAAAACTTCATCTGTATTTGCAGTGGTTCCCCAGCGCTAGCATCACTGCCTCAGCTCCACCTCCAATCATCAGACATTAGACTCTCATAGGAGCACCGGTCCCCGGTGCCAAAAATGTTGGGGATTGCTGCTCTAGAACACTCACACAATAAAAGAGAATATGGAAGTAGAAACAAGTAATTAACACATAGTGTGAAGTGTGTCAAAAAAAAAACCTTATACAAGAGAAAATAACTTTTTTGAGGGCTGTGTCAGGAGATTTTATCTAAAAGGCAACATGATTAAAACTTTGAATAATAAAAATTCTCCAAGTATGAAAAAGAGAAGGAAAAAAAAACGTGCAAAAACAAAACAAAACAAAAACTAAACCAACAACAACAAAACTAGCAACGTGAAATAGCATTCATTACTAATAACTAGCACTGAAAATAAAAATATTTACATAATATATGGCTTTTGCCCTCAAAAAATTTATGGTCTCCCAAAGTATGTCCACAATTGTTAGTCTTTCAAAGCACTATAGTACTAGAAAAACGATATCCCACAGCTGGTGGGCTGGACCAGCTCACAAGGAGTCTCATAACCCAGAGTAAAGAGCTTGAAACTGACTCCATAGGAGATGGGAGCCAATAAAAGTTTTAATTCAGTGGAGAATTTAGAATAGTCACAGAGGTGTGAATGAGGATTAGAGCAAAAGTGCACACAGGAAGATTGGGTGAGAGGTCATTTTGAAGTTCCAGGGGAGAGATGGTGGGTGCCTGAAGTAAGGCTGAGGCAGTGAGGTGGAAAAGAGATGGGTTTAGCGCCAACTCTTGAGTTTTGTTGACTGCTTAGCTATGGGACAAGGAAAGGATTAATGGCTCCCTTGTTTCAATGTCCAGGTAAGCAATTGTGCCTCCAAGCAAGATGAGGAAGGTTAAATGAAGAGAAAGTGTTTCCGATGTAGCATCAATGTTGTTAATGAGGGATGTGCTGACCTTACACTTAAGTCTGAGCCAAATGGAAAGTATCCATTTTGTGTACTTTGTCTTTGACTCATTTTATTTTAATTGTGTTGCTAACACCTGTTTGCATGACTCATAAAAGTAACTCTTAAGGCTGATACCAAACAATGCAGAAAAAAAAAGTTTCTAATGTTCCCATGTGCAACGACTTTCTCCTCACCCATAATTGAATTTTCCATTTCCAAAATCTATGGCATTAAATATTCATTTTTATTTAGTGTGAGGATATTTTGGTTGCTGCAATTTTTTAAAAAAAGTTCTCACTTCTTTTTTTCCTAAGTTTTATCAATTCAATTGCTGCACCCTGAGCTCTGTAAGAAGCAAAAGAAATGACAAAAATCAAATTCTGTCAAATTTATGGAAGTCATAGCCAAATATTACATCACGATAATGCTGTATAGTACAGGAAACTTTTTTTTATCATGGTCAAATTTAATTTTAAAATGAGTTTGTCAGATGATCAGCTATTCTCAGTTTGATGTACTAGAATGTTAATTTTTGTGCCATGTTGAAATAAGTTTTACCAAATACTCATTTCTGTGTTTTGAAGTACAGCTAGCAGGAGCTGTATGCGCACACCAGCTAATTGCAAAGGAAGTAGTGTTTACCCTAAATAAACAAAAATTCAAAAGAGTCCTACGTGTGTCATAAACTTTCAGAACTTGGCTATAAAAAGTTAGAAAGAAATTTTTAAATGGCAACTGGTTCAAACTTTGAAAAAGATTGTTTTCTTTTGATGACATTTAAAATGCCTTTATATATTTCTATATGTTTCTTCTGATTTGTATGTGACAATTATTCATTTAATCTGAATGAGTCTAATCTCAATGGAACTTTTTCATTGTTCCTTGCATTGCATCTGTTTAAAGAAGAGAATTAAGCATCAATTTGTTTTTCAGTGTTTATTTTGGGGGAGAAGGGTTATTTGCCCTTTTTTATTTTCTTTCTGTTAAAATAAAGTGAAAATAAAAAATGAGAAAACATAAATGGAGAGAAAATGCAACTCAAACTTATTCCTCTATTAAAACAGCCTATTTAATGTTAAATAGAAAATGTTGGTATGTGCTTGAAGTGGACTGCTTTTTTTATGATGGAAATAAACACAGATCAACTGGGTTTAATCCTGGTTTGCCTATATCAGCAAATTAGTTAAATTCTGGAATTAGTCTTCTAATCTTTAAAATGAGGAATAGAAACCTTTTACAGCTTTGTTAGGATCCAAAATAGTACAAATAAATAATCCAAGGAAAGAATCAGAGGATAGTCCTGTCTATTTCCTTCACAGAAGCTCATGGCTTTGTTTTGCTCTTTTTTGTTCTATTTTTGGTCTTGTCTTCAAATATCATTCTTTGGATGATCTGACAGTTTATAATAAAATGTATTTCCATATTTTCTCCAAAGTTATCTATAATCCAAGACAATTATTTTCAAAGTTACTTATGTATTTTTCTTTATAAACTTATGAAAATCAGTTTCTAGATTCATCGCAAAATTAATTAATTTATTTCTAGGTACATAAACACTGAGAATATAAATCTATTAGTTTTCAGTACAAAAAAAAAGTCCTGACTAGTTCAACCACTTAGCAGAATTAAAATAAAACATGATCCTTGGTCTGAAGGCAACCTAGAATATTTAAAATAAAACTCACTCCTTTGTTCTAACAACCTTTCTGGTATACTGCTTTATCCTTTAATGCTTCAATGTAGACATCAAATAAAAATGGCATTGTTATGATATCACATCATGGTAGTGATGACATATAAAACAACTACCATGTTTGGAAATCCATATCATACTAAAAAATTCATTACAGTTAACAAAATACAGAAACTAAAACCTTTAGGAATTTCGAGTAGAAATAGAACAATAGCCATCATAATCAAACACACATGAAAAGAGTATTTAAAAAAGCATAAAATTCAGCATGGGAAATCCAAGGGTTCAAACCTTTGTTTGGTCACATATTGACCCTGTTATCTTGAGGCCTCTGATTCTAAGAATCCCTTGTCTATTAAATTAGGGTGATAATATCCCTCACTTCTCCAAGTTGTTGTGAGGATATTTTTAAAAATCATGTAGAGATAATTCATAATTTCTGAAGAACTATATGAATAGGAATTATCAGAAAATATACCAATTGAGAAAAATAACAGATTATTATACTACTTCTTATCTAACCCTAATATCTAGTATAATTCCTAACATAAATTTTGCTGCTCTTTGAATAAATGCATGAATGATGAATGAAAGAAATGCAGCCTCGATCCTAGCTCTATAAAAATCATTTGCACACAAAATCAAAAAATTCTAAAATGTATTATTAAATACAAAACAAACAATTTCATAAACACCCATTGTATTTTAAACACTAATAGTTACTGAGTACACAGTGAATAAAGTACGAATGTGTGGTCCTTGCTGTTATTCTGCTTACAGTCTGTAAGGGAAGACAAATAAAACTAGTAACATAGAGATCCTTACGAGTGGTAATAAGAGCTAGTAAAAAGATGAATAAGGTATCTGTGATTGAAAATAAAAAGGTAAAAGACTGAGTGAGGAGAGGAGACTGTTTGGAAAAAGTAAGAAAGTTCTCTCAGTGAAATAACATTTTTGCTGAGACATGAAGGATAAGAAGAAATCTGCCATGTGTAGAATGGTTGCAAGTCTGTTTCTGACACATGAAAAGTGTATGAAGCGATTTTATTGAAAAATAACTTGGCCTGTTGGATGAACTGGCCATTGAAAAATTATTATGGAGAAGTAGCCATAAACCAATGAACATTCTGTAACTTAAAATTTTGTTAGTAAGAGAAGCATTTCAGTTTCTTTAGCAGAAAAAAATTCCTTCTATATTTCTACAGAAGTAGACTCTGCTTACATTTTTCCTAGGT